CAAGGCCGGGGATCTTTGGGGGAAGTGATTGCAGACCCTGTTGCTTCCTCCCTAGCAGCCCCCAGACCCTCCTCGACCTCCTCGCTGGCTGGAATCGGGACCAAGATGGCGTCGGACCCCATTCTGGGCAGCTGCACCTCAGTGAACACCGTCTGCTCGGACAGCGACCGCCCCGTCAGCCTCAGCTCTTCGGCCTCCTCCGCCTCTTTGCAGGACGGCTCTAGCGCCTTCGGCAGCAGCATCGGGCTCGGGGGCTGCCCGCCTCCTTACTCCCAACAGAACGGCAGCGACATCAGCCTGGATTTGACCCCCGTGACGCTGCTGGACCGGCTGGCCGACACCCCGGGGGACGGGCAGCAGTGCTGTGGCTGGGCGCCGGGTCCCGGCCGGGCCAAAGAACGCCGGATCAAGCCATCCCACCTGGACCGGGTGGTGCTGGAGATTGTGGAAACCGAGCAAGCTTACGTCCGGGATCTCAGGAGCATCGTGGAGGTAGGAGGGCAGGAGGGGTGGGAGGAACTTTGGGGGTGGGGGGTCTCAAAGGAGCTTTGGAGCATCGAAGCAACTCCAGACTTCGACTCTTGAAAGCAGCTGCATCCTCTCCGGGATCTCGGGCAATGCCTCCGTTCCTGGAAATGGAGATTCTGGGAGTTGAAGCTGCCAAGGTGGAGCAACACCGCTCTAAAGTGGCATGATTCTTTGTCTGGCTTTGCAACAGCCCTGTGAGGTGGGCCAGGCTGGGGCAGAAAGAACAGCTGACAAAAGCTGTGCTGTTCCAGCAGCTCCCCTCCCCCACATTCAGCAACCAGCCTTCCTCTGTGTGTCTGTGTGTGCACTGTTTTCTCTCCCAGGCCACCCAAGGGCAGTTGCAGAAGAGGGTGTGGGGTGTGTGTGTGTGTGTGTGTGTTTGCACAGGTTGTCTGCTGTATCTAAATGGGGAGATGGGCCCCCCCCCGCCCCCGTTTTCTTCCTGCACAGGATTACCTGGGCTGCATTATCGACTGCGGCCAGGTGTCTCTGAAACCGGAACAAGTCGGCGCTTTGTTTTGCAACATCGAGGACATTTACGAGTTCAACAGGTGAGGCGACTTCAACAGGTGCAGTGGAAACCCCTCTTGGCTCATCCGCTGGGAAGGGGGGGCAGTCGGTCTTGGGGTTCAGAGCAGGGCAAAATGTCTGTTTATTTATCCAATTTATTGGACCCCCATCCTAGCATAGGATGAGCGCTGGGCAGCTTACAGTGCAGGTAGTCCTCGACTTATGACCACAATTGAGCCCCAAAACATCTGTGGCTGAGCGAGACAGTTGTTAAGTGAATTTGGCCTTGTTTTGCCACCTTCCTTGCCACGGCTGCTGAGTGAACCACTTGCCCTTGTTAAGTTAGTAACATGGTCATTGAGTGAATCCGGCTTCCCCATCAACTTCGAAGGTCGTGACCCTGGGACGCTGCCACCATCGTAAGTATGAATCAGCTGCCAAGGGCCTTAATTTTGATCACGTGACCATGGGGAATGCTCTGCGGCGGTTTTAAGTGTGAAAAACAGTCATACGTCACTTTTTTCAGTGCCGTTGTAACTTCAAACGGTCACTAAACGAACTTTTGTAAGTCGAGGACTGCCCGTGTATAAAAAATGCAACTATATATAATAAAAAGTTGATGGTGATTTTCCTGGGCTGAAGGGGGAAGGCCTGGCCCCAATCTTATTTTCCTTTGCCCGCCAGACAATCCCTCTCCTCACCCCTCCTCTTAAGGTTTTAATATCCCACCAGGGTCTCATCTGGGTTTCTGGCAGCCTTCTTGTTTTCCTTGTTTTTGTTTCTTTTTTTGGTGGGTTTTTTTCTTTTTTTGCTGGTGGCCCTGAACTTGTCACACTTTTCTTCTGCTTTTGATTTTTGGGCGAAGGGCCTGGAATTAAGTAAAGAAGGGCTGGGCATAAATAGAGTAGCGTAGCATGGAATGGAATAGAATTAGAATAGAGTACAGAGTACAGAGCAGGGGTCCTCAAACTTGGCAACTTTAAGACTTGTGGACTCCAACTCCCAGAATTCGGCACATGCTGGCTGAGGAATTCTGGGAGTTGAAGTTCATAAGTCTTAAAGTTGCCAAGTTTGGAGACCTCTGGTATAGAGTACAGAGTATAGAATAGAATACAGTATAGAATAGAATAATAATAGAATAGAAAATAATAAGGAGTAGAGTAGAGTAGAGTAGAGTAGAGTAGAATAGAATAGAATAGAATAGAATAGAATAGAATAGAATAGAATAGAGTAGAGTAG